AAATAATGACATTCATAACGGAATAAGAAGTGCATTTCAAATGTGATAACCATGCAGACAAAGAGTTTTAATATCATTACTGAATGAATATACACACATGTATAATTAACTTTCAATCTGTTACCCCTTGGTCCAATTGGTTTAATTGATTTTGATTTTTTATAATTTTAGTATTCTCCTACTTCGTATTTGTTTGCAAAGAACATTACAAAACAATAAAAAAGCATTGTTTATTGGTTTATCGTGATAGTGTATAATAATAATTTTATTAAAAAATCTCAGTTAAAATGACTATATATACCGCATGAATTTCAATAATGCTGTGTAGAATGTACGACGTACTTGTCCGAAAGCGATAGAGCATTTCTACTTAAATTGCATTTTATTTGCAAAATAGCTTACAGTATAGTAAAAACACGTACATTTTTTGGGAATAATCTGTATAAACTATGCTATAAACAAAAAAACTGTAGGATTACTTACCGAGTGTGCACCCGTCGACGTTGCCATTTCTTAAGCTTGTTTTCGTCGTGTAGCGGTGCATCGAATGGCGCTCGCGTGCTTCCTGATAAATTATTTTTCTGCGAAAACTTTGCTGAACTTTGGAGACCTCATTAATATAAATATAAATTATATGGCCGTTAATCTTTCAGCAGTGGGTTAGTCAGGTATTGTGCTATCCCTATATAGTGGAAAATATTTTCTTATTACCGTTTCGGAAAAAGATTTTGTAAACAGTTATATCTAGTAAAGAAAAGTCTTTTCTTATTGATGGATAATTTTTTTTTCATGTGAATTATTTTTCCCGGTAGTTTTTGGCTACTTTCTGGCGATATCCGCAAAATTCTTTTGTGGATATAGCCGTCATTCACCAGTTCTACACGATCGCCCTTGACGGATATATCCGTCGGTCACTACTGTGTGGACTACTAATTATAGCTAGCAGTTCGAATTTTTCTTTTATTAGTAGGTTTAGTATCCATCTCAGGTAGAGATGTCACTGGAAAGCAAGTGTTATCTTTAAGAACATCTTGTTATTTCCTGGACATTCTTTTCCTAAAATTTTCTCTATTCTTAACGATTTGTTGAAGATATGCCTAGAAACTAAATAAACGCTCACAGCTTTCAAACAACACCACATAACAATAACCATTAACCCTTATATTTAATTTCTACGATATGTTACTACTCGGTATTGCATGTAACTGAAAGCTTGTTTTACTTATTATTCGTAGTAATATGCAAGGAAATAGAAAATGCATTTAAATGTTTACACAAAATGTTGAACAAATGTGGCAATTCCACTAACGAAATAAACAAAATCACAGATATTTGTCTTTTCGCTTCATGTATTACGAATGTTGCAAAAATGTTTTCTTTCCGTTTATGAAAAGTTTCAGTTTCCTGCAATAACAAAAATTCTGGAAAAGTTGCTTATAGATTCTCCGTGAAATATTTCCAAGAACTACCAAAACTTTCGGTTTGGAGCATTATTTCTATCGATTCCCAACTCATCCTTACAATAATTAGTGTTGCAATAACATACATAGCTATTGTATACTAGCTACAGACAAAAGACGTGTTGATCCAGTTATTGTTTTTCGATTTAAATTAATATTCTGCACAATTATTTAGATATTTTAAGTTAAAAATTCGAGTGTTATGTATGATTTTGACTACAGAAAGTATGCAAACGTTTTTCTTGTTTGTTCTCCATATGAGTTGAAACAATCAGTGTTTTAGTCTTTATATTAACAAATTCTTTAATAGTTTTAAAACTCGTTAATAAATAAACAAAGCATAAAATTTAAATACATATTTAAATTTCGTCGTCTTTTACAATATTAAAATATATTTCTTTTTAATATTTTGCTCGTTGACATGAAATTGCTTGTGTTATAAATGTTGTTAAAACAATGTGTCTGTTGAAGTGACATTGCTGTGAAGTAACAAACTGAAATCTGTAACTTAAAATCAACTGTAACTAATAAAATAAAGTAATAAACTTCAAAACGTTAGTAAATTTTTTAATTTTTTATATTTACAGTAGAGTCTCGATTTTCCGATCCCCGATTAACCGACACCTCGGTTAACCGACCGTCCTAGTCGGCAAATTCCAAATGTCCGCTAGTGATGTGGCGCTACAATATTTGGCTATGTCTTGGATTCTTTAATATTATTTTTACGTGTTTTAGCTGGCAACACTCATTCGACCATGAAAGGGGGTCAGTATTTAAACGAGGCTTAATTTTCTAATTTTTAACGATACAAAAGCGACGAATATTATTTTAAAAAGTTTTGTTAGGCTTAACATGGAGGAAAATTCAAGTCGAAGTAGGTTAATAGCGATATAATAATATACTAATTACATGGGATATAATAATATACTACACTAATAATGGATTTTTTCATACTTTTCGGTTATCCGACTTTTCACTTATCCGACCAACCCCAGTCCCCAATTGAGTCGGATAATCGAGGCTCTACTGTATCAACGTTTCACAATTATTGTTACTATTTCATTTTACATTTTCTTTACATTATTATTTAAATAAGTTGGGGAAACTTTAGCCCGGCCAGGATAACTTTTACTACAATTTTACGACTCTAGCTGTTACACAGTTAACTGGAGAAAATAATTTACAGTATTGTGAAATCATCTATTATAAGATGGAAAAGAAATAACAATATAATACGGACGGAAAATAAACCTTGGAAATGCAATTCGCAATGTTGAACAATAAGTTATAAAAAAAAATAATAGAATCCAGTAGGCATTGAATACAATGTAGTGGCTCTATTATGTAATTCGTAGATTGTTCATTTCAATTTTGGATTCTGCCTAAGGAAAACATTTATTGGATTTCAATATCTAATGCAAAAATCTTGAAGGATCATTTTTTGACAGATCGTCATACTTTCCCTCTGTTATATCCAACAGAGTCGGTAAAGTAAAAACAAATACAACAAATTTAGGGGAGATCGGGGCAACTTCGGCATGCGGGGCAAGTTTGTCAAGCGCTTTTTTTAAAAAACAAATTAAAAGGAGACTTTGGTTATAGGTTAGGCAGTTGAGTTTTATTGGTGGCTTGTTGAGTGTAGTGTTTTTATTGTTCTCCAACAAGCGTAGTTGAATTATCAAGCAAATTTTCATTTTCGTT